ACTGAAAATAGACTGAAAATAGTCTCCTGCACCTAACTCCTGCATTAGCTTTTGATAGACAATAGACGGTGAAACTCTAGGATTAGAAAGCTGACGGATCTACGTCACAGTTCGTTTAACGGTAAAGGACTTACCCATCTTGACTTTCGCAGACGGCTGTTGTCAGTTTAGCATTGAACAGCAAAGACCGATCGCGTTAACCAAACGAGAAGAAGAAATCTCAGAAGCATTAGACAAAACATATTACGTTTTATCTGGCAAAACAAAAGCCAGAATTATATTTAGGATGCTTTGATCTACAAAAACAGAGGAGGGTTAGTCCTCCTGGATGAGAGAAAGGATTTATTTGTAGCACAACTTAGAGCCGTATATTAGGATAACTAAATATATGGATGATTAATAAAGAGGCGGGGATTATTAACCCCTTAAATTTACAGGTTTAGTGAATGCATATTATAGAATAACTAAATATATGGGTGATTAATAAAGAGGTGGGGATTAATAACCCCTTAAATTTACAGGTTTAGTGAATGCATATTATAGAATAACTAAATATATGGGTGATTAAAAAAGAGGTGGGGATTATTAACCCCTTAAATTTACAGGTTTAGTGAATGCATATTATAGAATAACTAAATATATGGGTGATTAATAAAGAGGTGGGGATTAATAACCCCTTAAATTTACAGGTTTAGTGAATGCATATTATAGAATAACTAAATATATGGGTGATTAATAAAGAGGTGGGGATTATTAACCCCTTAAATTTACAGGTTTAGTGAATGCATATTATAGAATAACTAAATATATGGGTGATTAATAAAGAGGTGGGGATTATTAACCCCTTAAATTTACAGGTTTAGTGAATGCATATTATAGAATAACTAAATATATGGGTGATTAATAAAGAGGTGGGGATTATTAACCCCTTAAATTTACAGGTTTAGTGAATGCATATTATAGAATAACTAAATATATGGGTGATTAATAAAGAGGTGGGGATTATTAACCCCTTAAATTTACAGGTTTAGTGAATGCATATTATAGAATAACTAAATATATGGGTGATTAATAAAGAGGTGGGGATTATTAACCCCTTAAATTTACAGGTTTAATCTATCCATCCATTTTCTGAACCCGCTTGTCCATGTAGGGATACGCCGGGGGGGGGGGGGGGGGGGGGGGGGGGGCGGGGGGGGGGCAGCTCTTAGACATGCTGACATTGTGGGGAACGTTAATCTGGGAAGGGGAGGCCTTGGACTAAAAACTAGCCGCCCAGCCTGGAGAACTGCTACTGCTCCAGCACAGAGGAAGATGGTGGTGGATGAGGTGCAACGTCAGAAGGAATCTGCAAGGTGGGCCAAGGCAGTCACCCTTGGCAAATGGGGACGGTGGACACGGTGGGAAGGTGTCAAAAGGAGGGGGTTGTGCTGGAGGGATGTATGGGCCATGGAAGCTAGGAATTTGAGCTTTTCCATCCACATATGATGTCCTACCAACACTATCTAATCTCCACCAGTGGTTTGGTGAAGATCGTGGGTGCATCCTGTGCTCCAAGCCAGTCTCCCTCCGGCACATACTGACTGGGTGTAAAACCAGCCTTACCCAAGGACGATACACTTGGCGGCACAACCAAGTTTTGAAATGCCTTGCTGCTGCACTGAAGGTAAAGCGATCCAGCATCAATGCCCTTTCAGTACCTAACATCTCAACACCACCATGGGCAACTGCCTTCGTCCGTGAAGGCACAGTAGCCACTAAGAGCAGCTCTAAATCATCAGAGAGAAGCCAGCTGTGCCTAGCACGTGACTGGAAGATGCTGTCAGACATTGGCCAACAACTGGTGTTTCCCTCAGATATAGCTACCACCACCGTTAGGCCTGACCTGGTTCCATGGTCCTCCTCCATAAAGAAGGTTTACATAATCAAACTCACCGTACCCTGGGAGGATTCCAAGGAGGAGGCCTATGAGCGAAAGCATCTGCGGTATGCTGACCTAGCCGCCGAAGCAAAACATCGTGGCTGGAATGCGGCGGTTCGCCCAGTGGAGGTCGGGTGCAGAGGGTTTGTGGGAACATCTACCACAAAATTATTAAGGGACCTAGGAATCATGGGCCAGAAACAGTGCAGAGCCATCAAAGCTACATCAGAGGCTGCAGAAAGAAGCAGCCAGTGGCTCTGGCTGAAGAGGAATGACCCCATTTAGGCCCCCAAGTTGTGTGCCAGGCTGTACACTTTCATGGCTAATTGGACTTGGGACACAAGCTGAGGTCTGACCAACCTACAGCTGGCCGCCTCTGAGGAGGGTGTGTAGCGCTAATGGCCGAAACACCCCATGATCCAGAGGAACACTACCGAGGATGCGTCCCAGAAATTTTTTCCTGCAATTCTACCATCCACCATTAAGTAGACCAAGCACTTGTATGTTCTTGCACAAGGAAATACGATCTGATCCTGTGTTTTCTGGAATCTTACACCTATTATTTAGCACTTATAAAAATAAAGTGTCATAAAAGGTGATTGGTGTCAAAACATATTTGATTCGGGTTTGTTAAATAATGAATGCACTTCTTCCACACAAAAAAACTGTTCTATGTCATTTTATCTTATTTACAGATTGTTGTTACTATAGTAACATTGGCTCCATTAGGCTTTGCTTTGAATCAGCTTAAATTCGTTTTTACCTTGACAAACGGTGTGATTGCAGCATAATTCAAGAGCCAAGATACTTTGTTAATCAACCCACTAAAAAGCAAATATTTCCTGTGAATTAACACCCTTTTAACAATTTAATTATCAAGTATGTCGTGCTAATTTTTATGCGGCTCAAGGGCGAAACGTGCCTTTCTTGGATGGAATCAAATTCCTAAAAATAAGCAAATGCACACAAACAAAGCAGAGCTGCCTCTGGTGAAGCATAACTCCGAGACCATCAAAATATGGCTCCTCCTGGGTGAAATTATGTTAAGATGAAGACAAATGGAGACATCAAGCACTGAATGAAGTCCGTTTAATTATTATTACTATGCAGGAATAATCGTTTTGGTTTTTGTTAACTCTTAAAATGACTTATCAGTTTACAACATATAATGAGGACATACATATAAAGCAGCACGTGTTTCAGTAGTCAGATCTTACATTTTTGAATTATTGTCAGCTGTCATTATTTATTATATTCAATAAACACAATAACTTTCCAATCTTTTTTCTCCTTTTAATTCAAGGAATAAATGGGTGTGATAGCTTTTAATTTAAAGTGAAGAAATATGTTGCCATGTGTGCATCGTAAGTGAGCTTAACACAGCAGGATTTGGAGTCTTATTTCCTAATTTTCAAACATCTCGCCTCAGATTGGATAACAGCAATGCAACTCTACGGCTGTTTGCTCTGTGACACGGATGTTTTATCTCCACAAATAACTCAAGCCGGGAGTGGTTCTGCTGTGTGGTGGAGTGGCTAATGCTAACGGTTAGCTTCTACCAGCCGAGATGTTCTCTGCTGTATCCTGGACGCTAATGGCGTGTTTGATTTTCCTCAGATGTCTACCCAGAACTGGGAATGACTTCACACTCGATTTAACCGCATTCTGGTTACCTTCGTTGGAGAAGTCAGGATTTCAATGTGGCGACCCCTCTGAAAACTGTTTAGTCAGCTATCTGCAAAAACAAATGACTACTTAACACATATGCTGCTCATCTGCAGCTTAGAGTTGCAAGCGCTACATGTAACATTGATTTTAAAGGCACTTTTATAAGTGTGTCCTGTTAAATTAACACATTTCAACTGAAACTTGTTGATACGGAGAGCTGCCATACTGGATGTTGTGGTCAGGATTTTAAAATTTTTCCAACTGTCTGAATGGGAGGTCCAAATTTGGGGGGCTCTTTAGTTGATTTTTCCCACTCGGAAGTCACAGTTTCTGAGTTTCCAACGACAAAAAGCTGTCCCCACCCTGGGTTAAGACGGGCGAGCCTATGAATGTTTTAGTGACAGTGTGATGTAAATCTGTCAGGCTTTTCAAATCCTAGCTAATGCAGGAGACAGGTGTAGACCATCTTCATGTTTAGCCTGCATGAAAAACTCAAGTGACAAAATTATATTCAGAAATAATCATTAAACTTTTTTTTTTCAGTGTTTCACACCTTTAAACCAGTGTCACCACCTACCATGTGTCATTTTGTAGATTTCAGAAGGAAAACACAAACCTGCACACAGATGATGCTCAAAATATGCAAGCAGGTTGATGAATAATGATTGTAGGAACCACCTGAAGAAGATAAACAGTCTCAGAATGAGGCCAGCTGTGTCAAACGTAGTCATGCTCTACCAGATATTAGACATCAAGAGTCTCTTGCTGACAGCAACCTGCCTGACTCCAAACTGTTATCCAGTCACCTTATTATACTGAATAAATCCTCCACGTCAAGCACCGGTCATGGATTTAATTCTAGATATGTGCAGCTCTAATGCCCCAATGTTGGTCCAAACAGCAGCAACAATACATTTCATTTATTCATCAAAATTTTATTTCTAAGAAAAAAAGGATCAACTTTACAGATCTACCAAAAATCCTGTATTAGCTCTTGCTGCAGCAGCATCACAGCAGTATAAAGGCTTTTCTACTTTTAGACAGCCATCATTTATTTTTCTCCTGCAAATTATTAAGCAGACAAGCTCAAGAGAGGAGGGAGGGAGTATCTCTTGACCACGCATGCTTTGAATAAATTGCCCTGCGCACCATGAGGCAATATTCCAAGGCAGAGTAATACAACTGTGGAAATAGTTTATTTTTTCATCCATCCTCCTGTCGCCATTCATCCACACTGCTGCCAGCAAATACAATGACACTGTTTCTGAGACGGCAGGGGAATTCTCAACTCAATAACACCCCCACACAAGCCATCCCACCCCCATTAAAAAATCCCTGCCAAGACTGAGGACAGGCCACCAGAGTTCACACAGCAAAGGAACAAAACAAAGTGTTATTTTAAGGACGCTGGTGAGATGAATATTAATGACTTTATTCCAACATGTCGCCAACAGTTTTCATCTAATTTTGCCGATTTCTAAACATGCACAAATTCTGGTACATTTATATATTTAAACAAAAACATCAGACGTCTTCAAAGAAAGCGTTCAGGTCTTTCGTCATCTCAGCTTCATGCTCGGAGTCTGCTGCCTCCTGAGCTGCCGAGAACCCTCTGCTGGAAGAGTTTTCCTGCGACCTCTGTGAAGCATCCACCTCTCGCTTCAGCTCCTTTCCCCCTCCTCCTCCACCCAGAAGCTTCTGGCTTTCTGAGAAATACTGGTTGGGGTGACTGAGCGAGAAAGGCGTGTCCTCCACCTGCACAGAGAAATGAGAAAGGTCAAAAGAGGATAATAACGGCAGGTTGTCAGAGAGGTGGCATGTTGATTGACTGATTCGTCGTAATGTCACCTTTCATAAAACCATCATTAAACATCACCCTCATTGCTGACGATAAACGGTTTAGTGATTACTTCAGGCTCAGACTGTCACAGCCGCATTAGAAAGGCTAAGTCATCATATATCTAAAAGCCCAAGAGAGGAAATCATCGCTCAGAAAATAAAAATGGAACTCAGTTATCACCAATAAAAGTGTGTCAGGGTGTCAGCTTAGAGCAGCAATCCAGTTTTCCTACTTTAAGGAATTATGTATGGTCTTTTAGAGATCCATAAAGCCTGAGGGATATTGTGATATGCCATTTACAGCGCTCTATTGGTATGGTGGACCAATCATGGTGCTCTATTGGTATGGTGGGCCAATCACAGCGCTCTATTGGTTTGGTGGGCCAATCACAGCGCTCTATTGGTTTGGTGGGCCAATCACAGCGCTCTATTGGTTTGATGGGCCAATCACAGCACTCTATTAGTTTAGTGGACAAATCACAGCGCTCTATTGGTTTGGTGGACCAATAGGAGCATTCTATCAGTTTGGTGGACCAATGACAGCACTCTATTGGTTTGATGAGCCAATCACAGTGCTCTATTAGTTTGGGGTGGTGCAGTGGCATCAGCTGGCATATGCTGGATGATGCCCGCACTGCCCACTCACCACAGCCATGGAATACACCTCATGATCACACAACACTATATTGGAGCAGGCGGAGGGAGACTAGGGGTCTTAGCCACCTCTGTTGTTGCTTGGCTTCCTGGGGCTGGAGGCTAGGAGGGAGATCTGGCCGTCTGGTTGGGGTCTGGGGTGGTGGGTTGCTGTGCTCAGCGTTGGGCGGGGGAGCCTGCTCATCAGCACCCCAGCAGAAAGGGTCAAACTCTGGTTACCGGTGATGGTTGTACCCAATGTGCAGCAGTACCGGGACCAGAGTGAATAGGGTGTGTATGGGGAGCATGAGTGGGTGTCCGGCGTGCATTTTTGTAAGTCTTGGGTTGTATGTGCATGTGTGAGCATGAGGGAGGGAGTGTGTGACTGTGTTTGTGTATGACTGTATATGTCAGGTGGGGCCTTTGGGTCCTCCCCTCTCCTGGAACTTCTCTTGATGATATAGATCTCTGTCCCCCCTCCCCCTGCCACACCTGGTGTGGTGGCTTGTGCCTTGGTCTGCCTGAGTGTTCGTGGCAACTGGGTCTGGGGGTTTAAGATTTTGGCATCTGCCTGATAGATCCCAGTGGCTGCCTGGTGGGGTCTGGGTCCCTGGGCCTGCTGGGTCCCCGGCGGGGGTGGTCGCCCCTGGGTCCCGGGTCGCTGGGTCCCGGGCTCGGCCGGCTAGGGGGTGGGAGGCTGCGGGCGGGCCTGTGGGCTTGCCGCTGATGTCTCCCGGGACTCTGCCGGCTGCTAGTTGTGGCCCCCCGGGGCGATCCTCTGTGCCTCTCGAGGGGGGCGGGGGCCTTCCTGGTTGCAGTCTCCTTGGGGTTCCTGCGTTCTGGGGCAGCGCCTGGATCTCTGGGACTTGGAGCTCCCCCCGTCTCCTGCGCATCTTTGGGGGGCGGATCTGTGGTCCCTCACACTCTCTGTTGGGCGCTCCTATAGATAAACCTTAAATAAACAAGCGCGTGTACACACACAGGTGCTCACATGGTGCTCTCAAAAGTATGGACTTGGGCACGTTAAACACAGGTCTTAAGACTATGGTGGGCACTTAATGCGTTGTGATTTATTATCGTGATTCTTCAGTTAAGCAATGTTGATTATATATATATATATATATTCTTTTCATCAAGTTGATGCAGTGATAGGTTGATCTTGTTGTATTGTTGTTGTGTCCCTTTTTTTTGTGTCCCTTTGTTTTTTTTTTGTCTTTTTTTCTGCAGGTCTAGAAGCAGACTCTTGTTCATTATTGTTTATTTTTGTGGAAACCCCCCCCCCCCCCCCACCTTTTCTTTTCCTTTCTCTTTCACCTCTGTCTCCGTGTCTGGTCGGAATTACAAAGCATTCAACAACAATAACAATAAAGTTTTAAGTATCAGGCATGACATTAAAAGCAAACGCTTTGATGCTCCACCTGAGAATAAATCTGTAAGGCTTGTCACCAGCATTCAGACATCAATTCTGCTTGCTTCACAGCCAGACAGGACACGGTAAAAAAAAAAAAAAAAAAAAAAAAAAAAAAAAAAAAAAAAAAAAAAGTTTGGTGGGCCAATTACAGCACTCTCTTAGTTTGATGGGCGGGATGATGCAACAGAGCGAAACAACTAAGGCAGTGGGAGCTTATTTGAAACAGCTTTAGTATCGACTTTGGACTATTTAGACTTTGGCTTTTCTTTGAGTCAACAGCAAATAGAGGTACTTAAATCTTTTATTTAGAAAAATGATGTATCTTCATCTTCTCCGACAGTGTATGGTGGATTGCCTCGTTGACTGGCATCCAGAGCGGTGAGTATGTCACATTGTTTGTTGCCCAATAGCGTGCAGAGACAGATGACCGTAGATTCCCCCATGACTGAGCTCTCTCAATGGGTTGTGGCCAGACTCAATTTTCACATATATGGGATGGCTTGCCAGGCTAGTCTTACCCTGTAGGCAATCTGTCAATTATTTTTTGATAATTTTTCTGCCACAAGAGGTGCTCTCTCAGGAAAAAAAAACTCCAGGATTCTGCTTTAAAACATAAAAAAAATTAAGTGCAAAAATGTTTTTTGTGTCACTTTTAAAATTTTTGCACCAGCAGCACAAGAATAAATTATATCAAATCAAATCAACTTTATTTGTATAGCACTTTTCATGCAAAAAATGCAACTCAAACTGCTTCACAGATTAAAATGACCCCATAGATCCCATATTCCCATCCCAGCCCCCCTCCCCAAGTATAAAACAATTGACAATTACGGTTCCCCTCCCGCACCCAACTTCCACTTCCAAGGTGAACATACAATCACCCAGACACTCGAACACGCACACACACACACGAACAACAGAGTAAACAATAGGCTGACTTCAGATGGGTCAGGTAATGAACGACACATCATCAGTGGAGCCATCTGCCCTAACAGTAACAGATCCACAGCAGCAGCCAAGACACCGGCCCATGACGCCAGGGGGGGAGGGCGGACCCCCCCCCCCCCCCCCCCCCGCCCTCCCCCCCACTACCCAGGCACTACCCGAGGAGCGCCCCGGCCGCCGCCGCTGACCACCGGCCCCAAGGCAGAGGGCTCCGCAGAGGAAACACTGGAGGATTAAAATATATAACTGTAAAATAACAAAAGCTAATATGGATAGAAAGTAACTGATAAAGTGATTATAAAGATGGTAAAAGAAAACATAATCATGTAATAACACCAAGATGTAAATAAAATAATAAAATTAATTAAAAGAGATAAATAGGTATATATATAAAAAAAAACAAATATGACAGGTGATACAGGTAGATAAATAGTAATCAGTTAAAAGCTAAGCTAAAAAGGTGGGTCTTGAGCCTATTCTTAAAAGCCTGGACGTTCCCTTCGGCCCTGAGGTCCTCCGGCAGCCCATTCCAAAGGCGAGGGCCGTAGTACTTGAAGGACGCCTCGCAGTGGGTGTGAGTCTTAACTTTAGGAATAATTAGGAGACGGCTGCCAGAGGAGCGCAGAGACCGCAAGGGTTTATATAGTAAAAGCATTTCTGAAAGATAAGAAGGCCCGAGACCATTAAGACACTTAAAAAAACATTAAAAGAACCTTAAAATCGATCCTAAAACATACGGGGAGCCAGTGCAGTGATTTTAAAACCGGAGTGATGTGCTCCCGCCTCCTTGTCTTCATCAGGACACGTGCTGCTGAGTTTTGTAAAAGTTGTAAACCTGAGATGCTCTTTTTGGGAAGACCAGAAAGCAGCGCATTGCAGTAATCAATTCCATTGGTTATAAAAGCATGCACTAGCGTCTCCGTATTGGCCCGAGAGAGAATGGGGCGGACTCTGGCGATATTCTTAAGATGGTAAAAACCTATTTTTGTGATGTTTTTAATGTGGGGGATAAAAGTCAGCTCAGAGTAAAAAATAACGCCCAGATTCTTCACTTGTAGTGATGGATAAAAAGGCATTGATTGTAGTTTAGGTAAAAGTTTCTCTCTCTGGGCCTCAGGACCGATGACTAAAACTTCAGTTTTGCCTTGGTTTAGCTGGAGAAAGTTTTCAGTCATCCATGATTTAATATCTAAAATGCAGTTAAAAAGTGTGTCCATTGGCTGTGCGTCATCACGGAGATGTACAACTGTGTATCGTTAGCATAACTGTGGAAATTCACCCCATTTCTCCTGATGACGCTGCCCAGAGGGAGCATTTAGAGGTTAAAAAGCACTGGGCCTAGAATTGAACCCTGAGGCACACCGCATGTGATGCTGTATATGAACTAAATAAATAACTCAACACAGTTGGAGGACAATTTTGTGTTAGTGTTTTACCTCTGCATTCTAGTAAAACACAGAGAGAAACGGAAAGATGATTGAATTTTTTAAATGCCATTTATTTTCCTACAAAGAGCTCAAAATTTCGAAATCACCGACCTCCTCAGCTGTTTGGATTAAACACTTAGAAATTCCGTGTCTGTGCAAGTTTTCCTGCAAGGCCACATGGACTCATTTCACAGATGACTGCAGATCCTTTTTTTTAACCGACTGCTTGCAAGGAGCAAATTATTCTACGTGTAACGACTGTAAGTAAACAAATAACCCATAAACTATCTATAACTCTTGATAAGCAGCTGCTGAAGTAGCCTGGGGTTAAAACTGGGCCTGCTCCACACAAAGAAAGAAATAAGGACCGACCTTCGACCAACTCTGTTTATATCAGAATGATCCTAATCGTGCAAGAAGTACAGTGGACCTGGGTTTGTTCCAGAAGAAGGAGCAACATTTAAACTGTAACAAATCTTTGTTCCGTTCAGAGAACTTGGAGGGGTTTTGCTGCCACGGCACACTAGATCAGATTAATCTTCTTTGTTTTACTGTTTTTAATATTTGTTCCACAACCCAGGCCCTGGAGTTTGTTTTTAATAAACCCGTGCATCTTTCAAATTCGTGTATGAATGTGTGCTCACTGTTATTTTTTACAATACAAAACCTATAGGTTATTCATTCGACTGTGTATCTTCTAAAATCAACTCAAAAACAATCACTCGAGCTCAAACGTTGTACCTCACGTTGAGGAAAATGACAAAGTCGAGATAAAAATAAACCATGTTGTTAAAGATCTTCTTCGAGTGTTTCCTTGTAGGGACGCGTCACACTGTCCTGAATGGTCTGCAGGCACACTGTGATATGTTGTGAGTTTAAACACTTGCTAAATTTGGGCGGATGACTCAGACATACAAAGTAAAACATTAAATTATCCAAAAATCCAAAACAGGTTGGAAAAACATGGAAAAAGCTCTAAAACCTGAGTGGCTGAGACAGCCGGCTAATGATAGATGCGATGACAGTTCTGGGTCTCCTGAGGTGTAAACTGGGTCTGCGACACACATGCGGCTACATTTAGTACTCCCCCCTCACACACACACCCATCAAAAGAGGTGAGCACTTACATTGTGTGTCAGCTCAAAGTACTTCTGGCACGCCAGCTGGTAGTGCATTCCTTTGACCAGCTCCATAATCTACAACAAAAAGGTGAAAGGTACAAAAGAGAGGTTGCACATTAAACACTGATGCAGTCCATTTATAGAGTCAGCATCTTTCACTGCTGCAGATTAGTCGTTTAATTAGGTTTTGTTGAAATACAAGCACACTTCATTAATCATACGGACAGCAGAGGCATATTTAAGAAAAACCTTTGTACAAGTAATTAAAACTGATTACATCTGTTGTTAATTTAACGTAGTTAATACGTAAACTCTATATAATCAAGTACAATTATCTCTATATTGAGGTGAACAGTTCACATTTTGGCTTACAAATTTCTGTGGATGCTGATCTCCAGGTTGCACAATGTTACATACTCTCAAAATAGTTCAAAATGTAGAATTTTCAGAGCTATTTTGCAGCCAATGAATCCATATCTACAGTAGTTTATTGACGTCAGCGTGAGGAAAAAACAAAGCACCTGTATCTCGTTATAACAAAAGTTTCTTCTTATGAGATATAAATCATTCTCATAATAACAAAAGAAAAGTAGTTTTAACGAGATAGTTTCTCGTAATAATGTGTTTAATATTTCATAACGAGAAAGGTCGTAACAGTAAAATGGCGATTTTATGTTGTGGCGTTGTACTTAGTTATTCCAGGTGTTGATGTTAAACGTAGAAGACTTGTAGAAGCAGGGCCACAACAAAAGGGGGAAAACCACAAAACAATGGTGCCTAACTCAACAAATTACCCTTGCTCGACTTCTTGTCAGGAGCAATCGGAACCGTGGAGTTTGATGCGCTCTGTAAGCGTAGTGCATAAAAAATAAATTGGAGCACAAGCATGTGCCCGTTATTAATTTATGTAAATAGTTTTTTCATGTGAAAAAGCAGAAATCTACTTGAGGGTGGTTTTCTTTGTTGTTTTCAAAGTGGAGGACAGCTTGACCAAAGTGTGGACAAATAAGCTCCTCTGGCAACTTTCAGCCAGAAAATGGAAAACTCCCTTTTCTCTTTTTGTGTCTCCTAGACGAGAAACATCCCGCGAGATGTCTGCATTTTGCCGTTATGAGCTATCTCTCTTTATTATAACCGTTTTTACAAAACAATGCCATCAATTAGCGCTGCGGCACTCGTTTGCCGTTTCAGCTGATTTTGTTCAAAATGTAAAACTTATTTCCAGTGTTTACTTTTATTTTGAATATATTTGCCAGCCAGAGCTCGGCATCAATCTGCTTAAAGTTCCTCGCACTTACCGTACTATTGCACTAGAGGTGACCGTTCATTTGAAGCTGTAGCTCCTAAACTCTGGAATAACCTATCACTCACTCTGCGTCCTACTGATTCTGCTAACAAGTTCAAGAGTGAGCTTAACTCATTTATTTGTTCAGGCATTCGTCTAGTTATTTTAGGGCTGTTGTGTTTTCTGTGTGGTCTTGGCCTTTTATGATATGTATTTTATTTTTTATTTATTTTTAATAATTGGTTTTATTCACAGTTTTTAGTTTCTCATTTTTTTTGTTTAAACTTTTGCAATGTTGTCAAGCACCTTATGGCTTAATTCCTGGCAAAGGTGCTATTGAAATAAAGTTGACATTAACTCCTCACGTCATCATGACACTTCCCTTTGTTGCGCCATGGCGTAATTGCTGTTTATAACACAGACCATTACCGCAATATTACTACCAAGCTAGGTGGAATGAATGCCGCAAAATTCGCGCCACACCATGCCGGCACGGCGCGTTTATAAGGCACACTGTTGCAGTAATATTATGCCGATTTGCCGGTATGGTGCATCTTGTAAAAAGATACATACTATTAGTAGACACTCTCATTAAAGTGAAAATATGCAAATTTTTCATATTTTTAAATCATTGTCTTGAACTAGTATGTCCTAAAAGGACCCTTTACAGGGTTAATGACATCTTACTCAGACCACCCCACCCTCTGTGGCCAGAATGCCAGACTGGCAACTCCAGAGTTGGCGGGCTACTCCCTGCTGGTGGGAGGAGCTGTGGAACGGAGTGGAGCTAACATGGTGGAGCTGCAGTCTAGCGCGTTTCCTGCATGTTTTAGATCGTGAACATAGCTGATTTGCTTGATTTAGTGATGGATCGCTCCTCTAGAAACTAATGAGAGCTGAGGGGACATTTCAGCAGTTAGATTAAGGTGTTAAAAAGAAACTCACAGCGAGGGGATGAGTTTCTTTTTCGGTTTAAGCACAGTGAATTAATAACGGACACTAGGGGGTGCTGAAAATGAAAACTGCCAAGTATCCCTTTAAATCAAGATATACACCACGTTAAAACAAGAAACTGTCTCGTTATTATGAGATAGTGCTCCTTTATCTCTCCCCACCACCACCACCAATGGTAATAAGCTTCTGTACACATCTACTCTTGTGTGCTTCTGCTAGATTAACTGATGTTGTGGCTGTATATACAGCGTGGATGGCCTGCAGCAAAGCAAACCAAAAGTTTCCCCTCTTCCTGAATCCGCTTCCTTCATAATCCCTTGCATCCCAGCACGGCAGCCTCTGGCGTGACACTGCCACCAGCATGCTGAACTCCACAGCTGGTGATGATGGACAGGTAATGAGCTATGAACAGTCTCTGCCACATATTACAGTTTTCACTTTAGTTTCAACTTCTTCAGTGGAAAACGAAATGCAATTTTGCCATAATGTGCACCAGATTGATGAAGAAATGCTGTTCTGTCATTTATTTTTTGTCTAATCTGGATGATTCCATTGGGATTGGAGAAAGAATTATGACATACTTCTGAAATAAGGAGATTCTGCTTTATCTCATTAATCTTTACAGGTCAGGACTCCCAAAAATACAGAAAACAACTAAAGTAAGTAATGTACAGCTTTTTTTCTACTTCATTAAAAAGAGCTTTGCCCTGTTGAATATACTGTTGTATCATCCCAGCAACACTTTCTGGTATTAAACAATAAATCAATAAAGACTAGATTTTCTTACACCATCCTCATCAACAAAACAGAGATCTCATTGTTCAGAATCAATCCAGTATCCGCCTCCGTTAGGAATAAAGATGTCATCTTGTTTATTGCACACAACAGCTTTTTCAAGCTTTGATGAGCTGACCATTATAGTCAAATAGATGATTACATGCCCAATCAACTGTTTCTATTTTCTATTGAAGTAACAACACTGATATACATAAATGAGAAGAATTCCTCACAATGTGGCCAAAGGCTCAATTCTGAAAAATAAATCAAAGGTGCTTTCTCATTTCAACTAGTGTGAATAATTGAGTTTTTGTTCAAGTTTTGCTTTTCTAGTTAATGATTGTAATTAATATATGATGTTTGCAGCAACCTCACAGCAAATTTCTGTTTATTTTGTTACAGTCTGATAATAAGGCATTGATTAGTTTGGTCTAAACTGTCAAAGTCAATGTTTTAGGTAACGCTTTAAACGGTTAGATGATTACACTAAAAAAGAATGGAAGAATTTCTAAATTCCCAATGCCAAAAATACGGAGGAAATCCCCCCAAAACATTGTAATAAGAAATTGCGCTTGTTCTGGTTATTTAATGATTTTTCTTACATAGCACTTAATTACAGCATACTTTCATTGAATAAAACTTCTTAAAAGTTTTAAATGTCCTTGAAGGGCTTTTTATCCTGATCAATGCCATCAATCACTGCTGATGCAATCATGATATGCTGACGTTTTAGCAAAGTCCTGAAAGGGACGATGGAGACAAGACGACTGAGCCATCGTATTATTCCTGTCACCTTACGTCCTCCCAGAAATTCTCCGGAACTCCTATATTGGAATTCAGCTATAGTTGCAGTTTATTGCAAATTTTTGAGGTCAGAAGAAATAACAATCAAGATTGTGTTGTTGGAAACAGATAATGATGGTCTGCGTGTCACCCACCTGAACGATTCCACTGGGAGACACTTTGAAGACCTGGAGCTTCTGCTTCAGCAGTTCGGGGTCACTGTGACGAAATGGACACCCTACCAACGGGAAAACATTTATTAAAATAACAAAAAATATCCAAATCAGCCTCTTTTGTACATTTGTTCTTGGTGCTTTTCATAACACAGCCAAGTAAAGATTTGTTTTTAACTTTTAAGCTGACAAGTTTTGGCTAACGCTGTAGCCTTCCTCACAGCATACGGCGTTAGCCGAAACTTGTCAACTTAAAATATAAAAACAAACGCTGTGTTTAGAAAAGAACCAAGCAATGGAATCTAAATCAGCTATTAAGACAATACAGCAAACAAATGTGAGACTTCAGTTCACAGAGCACAAGTAAAGAGCTAAAATGACTTGTGTTGGGATTATTTAGGCCAACTATTCAACTAAAAAGCTTGGATAAAAGAGCTGAACACTGTCCCAAAGCCATCTTCTTACCGTGATAGTCTCCTTGGCTTGGTGGGTTTGATAAAATCACCTTCATGCAGCTGTAAGGCGTGTAGTCTGTCCGCTTGCCCTCTTTGCCAAACATGTGGCGGATGCTGTAAGCATATGCTTTGTCAAACTGAAAGAGAAAGAAAGAAGGGAGGAAGAGAATGAAGGAATTAGTACGGATGAAAGTGGGAGAGAGACAAGGTTGGGGTGAAAGAGACACTGTCGTACATCATGTCAGTTTTGACAAGGAGTTTTCCTAAATGAAATATAGAGCCATTAGAGCGGACCTGCCACAGATGTGTCGCCACACTTGAGATAGCTGCTTTACAGGTCCTTTAATGAGGCCATCCTTCTCTGTGCGTTTGCCCCCTTGTCCTGCAGAGCCCTCTTACACGATATTAAAAACAGCGCTTTAAATCAAAGACTAAACGGAAGGTAACTCCAACGCTATCAATGTTTATTTAAAAGGGACAATGGACATATACATGTACTGTACCGGACAGAGCTGAAAGCTAATTTTCATTGGCAGTGTCTGGGCAGAGCTGGATAAAACAACACAATAACAAACTCAAAGACGAGCCACACAGCAGCTCCTAATTTAAGGAACAGCAAAACAAATACTGACATCTAGCCTAAAAGATTTACTCTTGATCCTACAATTAAATCACACAAAAATACTCAGCTGTTTCTTCACACTAGATTTTGCAGTAAACAATAACACAGTTGTCTAAACTGAAAAGTACAGGGCACAGCACAATGTGCTTTGCCTTTTTACCCCCTAAAAAAGTCTAACATTTTCTTACTTAGGAATAATGTTACAATATTCATCCCAGCAGCAGACGTTTGTGAGCTTTTAGTTTGAAAGTGTATTTCAATGTGAAGTTATTGTAACACCTTTTCATTAAGCGTGATTCGGCAGAGTGAATGATCCGTTTTGTTGTAAGAAATGGAACTTATCAAAAAAGACCCGAGGAACAACGTGTTCCTTTAGAAGCGCGAGGACAGAAAAGAGTTGCTGATGTTCACCGAGGAAAATGTAATGAAGTTATCGCCAAACAGTTGAGACGAACGTCAGACAAAATGTTATGTTGGCAGATGAGATTGTTATTGCAAAATAAAGGACAGTTTGAAAAGAAGAAAACAACTGAGCCTGTGAATAGTCAAAAAGACCTGAGGAGGACATGCTTGGCCATCTGTGTAATAAAGTCATGGTCGAAAAAGTGAATAAAACCAAAAACTGGATCAATCTGGGGTTTTATATATATATATATATATATATATATATATATATATATATATATACATATATAACTAATCATTATATTGTGTAAGGTTATGAAGTTCATCATTTTCAGCTCCACACAGCTGCCCCCTGTGCACAGTAACACCCGTGTAGAAAAGCCAAGGTCGGGTGTTCCTCAGACTGTTTACATTCCAGGAGAAGAGCCAGAAGGAGGAGAAGAAGCTTTACTTAATCAAAGTACTTTATTTGTGATTAAAAATATTAAGCAAAACATATGTTGATCAATAATAATCAAGTGAATGATCTGTGAAATAAATATGTCATGATTTATGTTTAATGAAAACAGGACTATTGCACAGACAGACTGACCATCATCTCCATAGAAACGCATGACACATTGTTCCAACCAATCAGAGCTTTCGGCTGCCACAGGAGAATCTGGCTTGTTGACTTAAAGTGTCCAATCCACTTTACTAAAACTTTCAACAATTCAGAGATATAAAACAAGGCAACGCCATTTTAAGTCAGTTCCATTTTGACTTCAGTTCTAGTCACCGTCATCCTAAAGAAAAGCACAGACTGGCCAGATGTGTTTTCTTCTTTAAACTAAGAACTGTGAAGCTGGAGATTTTCGTCGTTTAACAACCAGACGACATCCTTTCAAAATAAGAGCACCTGCTGACGCCGCTGAACGGTACCGGGGTCGACCCTCCAGACGGGCTTTGAAACGCTGCGACCGCTGCGCCGACAGCTCCAGCGCACATCCGAGGTCTCCAGACCTGGCATTTCCTGATCTACCTGGGAGGCCCCCACTGGGTACGTACACGGCAAAATAGCGGTTCATGTCATCACTTTATAAGCCTCGTGATATCTAGTCGTAACAAAGACTACCAGATTCAATGACGTCAGCCTAAAGAGTCTGAACCAACCACACACACACGCACCAACACAACATCCAAATCCATTTTCATCCATCACAGAGTTAGTCCTGGTAGATTGTTTAGAATTCATAATCAAGAAATTAAAGATTCTCAAACGATCCCATCTCTCTCTCTTTCCTTGTCTCAAAGTCAATACAGAGTGTTTAATTAAACTCCCTGATGATAAAAACAGCCTATTCTTCTGTTTATAAAAAGTGATCTACTTACAGTGTATTAAAATACAACTCTAGATAGTTTCATCACTCTATTCCGTTACAATTGGATTGCTACTGATTGTTCTGGATTTAACATATTGTGTACAATGTCTCCAGGATTAATACTGATGTTGTTTTAACAATCATTGTCATTTTTATAATATATCAAATTGTGTATAGGAGTGTAAGTTGAATTCATTACAGTGTTGATACAGTGTTGATTTAAGTAATATTGAGATAACTATGGTGAATATAATATGGAGGTGGGATTAAATAAGTTATTCTTCCTCCCACTCCTTTTCGAGCATTGCCTGTGTGCATGATTGTTTCTTTAATTTAATTCAGTTTTGTTTGTATGATGTACAAGGTTGCTATGTATAATATATACTGTATGTGTATATATATATATATATTATATTTTTGAATTTTCTTTTTTATGTCTTGAAAAAAACTTAATATTTTCATTTTCCTTTACCAAAATGTTTTTTTTTTTGGTTTATTGTTATATGTATGGTGGCCCATAGATGTTTAATAACAAATAGAGTCCCAATGGTCATCACACACTGGTGAAATTCGTCTCCACATTTGATCCATCCTCCTGGGGAGCGATGAGCTACAGCAGTGGCTTCACTTGGGTGATCTAACCCCCAAATCCAACCCCATGAAGGTGCGTGTCAGGCAGGGAGGCAATGGGTATTGGATCGCATTTTTAAAGTCTTTGGTATGACCCGACCGGGATTTGGACCCCGATCTCCCAGTCCCAGGGTGGACACTCGTACCACTAGGACACTGAGAAGGTAAAAAATAAAAGGCAGAACAAAAGCTAAAATGAAAACTAAAAGAAAATTGAACTTTTAGTGAAATGGGACTTAATGTATACTAAAACTTAACTTATGCTATTACCTTAATTATGCCAAAAACACAAGTATAAAAGACAACAGTGTTTAGGACCTGGAGCCTCATTTATAAAACTTGCTTATTCACAAAACAGGGTCTGGAAACTGTATGTGACTCGCACACACACTTAGTGATTTATAAAGGAAAACTTGATGGTAAAATATGCATGACTTTAGGCAAACTTTGGACATTTTTGGGATTTAATCAGGCCCCCACAATGCGCCTCAAAAATTGAAGCAATCCTGGAAGTACCAAAAATTGCAGTTCCACCCTCATCGCTGGGGGCTGGTGTCAGAAGCGAGCAAATTCTCATCGACTCCCATGTTAAAAATACCAATTTCACAGCAGAAATAAACATGTTTACAGCCTGGTACCAAAACATGTTTTTGGTTTAAATGATCTAGTTTACACTCATGACAACTCTGAGGGGTGTGAATTTTTTTCTCACTCTTCTGTTTAAGTGTATTAAAAACCTAAAATTCTGTATAATTAATGAGCATCAGACCCACGTGACCACAGAGCTAGCTCCAGGGAAAGGCCTCAGTAGAGCCTCGGCCTCGCCTGAAAACTGTTCCGGGATTTGAGTCTCTGTGTTTGTGCTTTCTTTTTTGGAAATTATTTGTGCAATTGTTGGACAAAATGACTTGCTGTGGCATTAATTGCACTAATAGAGCGTCCAAGGAGTCTCCACTTCATTTTTTTGGTAAGTAAAATTATATTTATGTATTTTAGGTCACTGCCGAGCTGAGCTTAGATTTTAACATATACTGTTTAACCATGAAATTTAAATGTAATAGGGTAAAACCCAGTACATTTAACATAATGCTGCACTTTAGAAAATGGGTTGAAATATAACATGTTGGTGGAGCTGGGTTCCGACTATCGGCTTGTGGAGCTCTCGGGAGACCGATGTTTTCCACCCGGTTCTCCCCTCCCCGCAGCTCCGCACATCTCTGTCTGCTGCGCGGGCTGCCGGCTTGTGGAGCTCTCGGGAGACCTCTGTGTTCCACCCGGTTCTCCCCAGCGGCAGCTCTGCGCATCTCAGATTGCAGCGGTGCTTGTCTGCTGTGCGGCTGCTGGCTTGTGGAGGTCTTGGAGACCTCTGTGTTCCACCCGGTTTTACCCAGCGGTCAGCCCGGCGTATCTCTGACTCAGAAGCTCTGGTGTTGTGCACAGTTAACTCCGGTTGTAGCTAGGTTGCTACCTCCGTTAGCTTAGCTCCCACCTCCGCGTTAGCTTTGGCTTAGCTTCAGGTTAGCTTGTAGCTAGTTCGACTGGGTGTCGTCAGTTGATCCCAGCCTTACAGCCCCACCCTCAGCTCCACCTCTCTTCCATTTTATGGAATTGTCTGGGCTTGACGGAACCTGTGACACGGTCAAAATGGCAGTGGTGGCCACCTCCCATTTATCTTCAAAAACGCATTATTGGAGCCTAGCAGCTTCAGACCCATCTCTAAACTTCCGTTCATCTCCAAGATCTTGGAAAAGGTTGTGGCTAAACAACTCACAGCTGCTCTTGATGAACATAGCATCTATGATAGCTTCCAGTCAGGTTTTCGTACAGCTCATTCTACTGAAACAGCTCTTCTTAGGGTTTCTAATGACCTTCTGACTCTCAGTGATGCAGGGGACTGTTCTGTTCTGGTCCTGCTGGACCTGACTGCAGCCTTTGACACTGTTGACCATCACCTGCTACTGGAGAGGCTGAGACACGGGGTAGGCCTATCAGTATCTGCTCTGGAGTGGTTCTCCTCTCATCTCTCTGAGCGCTCCTTTTCTGTGGCCGTCTCCAAGTTTAGGTCCTCCACCACCTCTCACCCATGGTGTCCCACAAGGTTCTGTGCTGGGGCCTCTAC